GGGGTTATGTGCCGAGTCCTGTAACTCTGTGTTTGCATCTTGCAGAAGATGCACAAGTAACAACAGAACAGGGAATTCTTCTCCACTACCACAAAATACAAAACTTAGGCCATAAAGATACAAAAATAGTGTTTTATCAAATTTTTACATTAAAAGTTTTACATTTTAAATTTATGTCCAATGTTAAAAACATTTTCCAAAAGAACTCAGCAGCTTTCTGTCAACAGCTTCCCTCCTTAAACGGAAGCACGAGCAGGCTGGCTGAAGATAAACCGAATTCAACCAACAAATGGATGCATTATTTATGTGAAGGACAACGATACATGATGCATGAATATAGCTGCCAATAAACATGTCGTCTCAAGTCCTGTGTGTGCTGAATAGCCACCTTCCAGACAAGGAGCTTCAGATAATTACAGAAACATAAATAAACTTTGCCTTCGTCACAGCGACGTCAGAAAGAAATGAGCTACTTGGAGGGTGAATTGTGCAGCTGTCACAGTTAGTGAAATACTGATGAATTAAACATACAAAGACATGAATGAGTGGTATATAACAAGTAACACAGATCAGACAAGTACATCATGAACACACATACTTAAAGTCATTGCTTACAGATGCACAAACAAGCAGGAATCTTTCTTTTTGCTTTATATTAACTTCCTCAATTTAAACAATTAACCAGACAGTAAAGAAGGAAGAAGAAGGAATTTTAATTAAAAACCTGTATTCTTTCTAAGTAATGGGCAACATTTCTTCTTCCAGGGAGCCACACTGACATAGATCGAATCAACTGAAACACATCACACAGTTTAGTTAGTTAAACTCTAAATTTGCACAGCACAGTGTTGTACTGTGTGTTATCTGCACAGTAGAAGGCCTGCCTCTCTATGTTTAAAACTTTGTTTTAAAATGTTGACTTTGTTTTACAAAGGTGCTCATTTGGTGTCCTCTGAGGAGGCAAAAGAAATCTTACAGAAAACCTTCCATATTGTAAATCTCCTACTACATTATATCATATATAAATAGTTAGCACTATGTAGCGTAACACACAATTTCGGGACACAGCGTTTGGGAATGACTGCTGTGAGTAACTGTGGTTGTCTATAATAAAGAAGCATGATTCACTGGTTGAGTTTGGGAACGTTTCTGTATGAAATGACATGGAAGTGTCAGCATAGCGACCACAATAACAAATGTATGAATTTTCCAAATCCTTTGTTTCCCTTATCACCCCCTTTAGCAGAGGACACACTGAACCATCATCTATTAAAAAAAAAAAAGGAGATAATGCCTCCCATGATAACAAATTTTAAACACATTTGATTCTATGATGCAGTTTTTATGTCTTGGTGAGCGCTAATTACTGTTTTAAATGCTTAACATAATGACCCGGGTATGCACCGACAGGCATCACAAAAATAGCTGCTGAGAGGCTAGACTTGCTTTCATACGAACTAAAATATTATTCTATTTCTTCATGATTCACACAGTTTCTCTAGATCTAAAAAAAAAATATCAAGCATGTAACACCTTTTTAACAAAATAAAATCAAAAGTATTTAGAAAATTTTAAAAAAGTAAATGAACTGAGAGTCAGAAGGATACTTACCACAAAGAAGAAACCAATGCTCATCATCTTAGCCGTCCTCTGCACGTTGTGGTTAGCCAATCCTCTCCTCTCGATCAGCTGCTGGGAGATGACATCACCGACACCCACTAAAGACCCTGGAGGTCAAACAGAGTTGAAACTGCATCTCAGTCCCCTGAGCACAATCTTCTACAGATATGATCCGTGCAGACATGTTACTGTTCCTGCAGTGAGAATCTGATTAGGCAGCACTCTTGTAATTAATGCATAATAACTGCAAATATGCCAAAAAATGTATTCAAAGAATCAACTTTACTGTTAATATTGAAAATAATGTGTTAAAATACTTTATAAGCATTCCAAAATTAACAAAAGCTCCCAACCAAATGTGAACTACTAAAAAATCTGCATTGTCTTAAAGAGATATTAGCTGAAGTCAAACTCGACTTGGAAAAAAGGAAAAGTTTCTTGAGATCAAATTTTAACACAACTACTGATAAAATACTGCCACCTAGTGGTGAAAGTTTAAGTGACATTTTGCAGGGGGCGTTTACAAAAAGTATCTTTAAAATGCAACAAAACTGTCCAAAAGTACAAACTCCCATCCGAGTTCAACTTGGCGATGGTCACGCAATGTGTCCCTCAAACAGACTCAGTTGTTTTTCTTCTCCGTAATATATCTTACCAATATAAATTATTTATACGAACAAATGAGATTTCAAAAGGATTTCATCACAGAGCTCTTGTCTTCATTTGTTTCACACTGCTTATTAACAGGCATTAAAGGGTTGTCACCAACAAGCCACCATTAACTCATCATCATTGGCGTCATCCACGAATTTCCTGAGTCACTGCTAATTTTTTATTTATAAACCAATTTTAGACAAACAATCCTGCTTAACACTGCAGAGATTTCACAGAGGTCCTCTTCAAGTCTTCTGTTTGTTTCTAACATAAATACTTTATAAAATAAAAATAAATTGGTCCAGCAACTCATTTAAAGGCCTTAATATCTCCAGCTTGAGTCAGGACCTCAGTAAGCACTGTGGTAAATTACTCCACTTATTAGCTTTTCACTTTATTATAGTGGGCAGCACGGTGGTTAGCACTGTTGCCGCACAGCAAGGAGGTCCTGAGTTCAATTCGACCATCAGGCCGGGGGTCTTCCTGTATGGAGTTTGCATGTTCTCCCCGTGTTTGCGTGGTTTCCTCCCACCGTCCAAAGACACACAGTTTGTGGGGATAGGTTAATTGATTAATCCAAATTGCCCATAGGTGTGAATGTGAGCGTGAATGGTTGTCTGTAATTTATCCACAATAAGTCTGTGTAGGTTCTCAATTATCCAGGTCATGGTAGGGCTTGGAAGAAAGAAAAAAAAAAAACAAGAAGGCACTAAAACTTCTTCGGTTTGGTACAGACGTGTCACCTCTCATCCTTGAGGCTTCTTCAGTTCTAAAGAAAAATGGTGGAGAATCCTAAACATTTAAGTCCTAGTGAAAGTTGTGCCCCTTGGAGGCAGCCCCGACAGTTGTTGACCAACTACTGATTTATGCTTCAGCAGGAAATCTACACCACACTTATGTAATCACAGTAAACCCCTCTGAACCCCTGTGCTGTAACCTGACGTGCACCTACCTGCAGATGTAACTACATGTTAGGTCGATGCTGGCTGTTCAGCTCCATTGATTAGGAATAATAAGCATAGTATCAGTATAAATACTCACAATTGTCAGCTGATTAGACATCAGCTGGACATAATGGAATAATAATAAGATAAACTAAATTCATGTGTCATAACATGTAGTTATAACAAAAACAATTTAAAAACAGACCAACTGCTCAGAAATTCATGATGTGTCAACACTAACCTCAAATCTTTCAATAAATTTGGGGGGGGTTTCTTTTGTTTTTTTGTAGGAAACTCACAAACTCAGCTGAAATTAAAAACTTTGAAAATGCATAAAGACTGTCAATAGGGAAACTGATTTCTCTTTTTTTAAATTCCTCAGAGAGGCCCCTTTTAGCTGCTCTAGCTGCGAGGTCAAACCTCTGCCTCTATCTAGTGGTGACTAAATAGTACTGCAAACAGTACTTTAAAACTACAGCCTTTTGAAAAAAGTAAAGGGTTAATACAACACTAACTGCTTAGGTTAGATCATTTACATCTGAAACTTGCTCCAATGTGTGAATCCACCAGAGCTCTAAAAGCCATTTTCAACGCTATGAAATCCAAAAGTGCTACACAACAGTTACAGAAATATTTTTGGTCTAATACCTGCATCATATTAAACTCATCAGCATACTTCAGCTCTCTGTATCACGTTTTAGACATTTTGGGCAAACAGAGTTCAATTCAAATGTTTTTGTGCGTGTGTTAAATCAATATATTTATGGTTTCGTCTGGATGTTCTGATCACTTATCCTGTAAAAATATATGCAAACTTGATGTTCTCATGAGTATGTACGACTCTACAACCTTCTTGAATAGATGTACATATCATACACATATTATTGATTTTTTTTTTTTTCATTTGCTTTTATTCCTGATCACAGTACAATGACCTTTAGTGTACAAATAGACACAGGCTAAACTGGAGCAAAGGTTTGTAAAGTCAACCAGAAGCTGAAACGGGACCCTTCATTTTATTTTAATCAACAAAGGTCAGTGTGTGGTGTACCCGAGATCGTTTCTGCACCTTCTCATGTGACATCTGTCTGCAGCTTTTCTACATTTACGTTTGCGCTTTCAGAGTGTAACTTATTTTTATGTGCAGTGATAAGGTTGTCCTACCCGCTGTCACTATCTGGACTGTCCAGGGGTATTTAGTCATCAAGGCCTGGTAGCCTCTCCAAAGGCCTGCCATTCCTCGTCCTAGGAAGAAAGAAAAATAAAAGGTTGTTGCAAATGCAGACTTTTCTGCTCAATCACCCCGCCCGCCGGTTTGTAACGTGATTCAAATCAAGCGATACCACTAACAAGTTCAGTTAAACTGTCCATTAGTGATTGCCCATTAGTGTAAACTTCGGACTGTTTTTTAAAAATTATTTCAGGGTTTTAAAACACTTAAATGTATCCCAAGACCTATATCGAAGAGGTTAGCTCACTCTTTCAAATTCAGTCAAACGGCTAGCTAATCCTCTCCATTCAGTTACATCACACTTATGGTCAACTGCTGACTCAAAGTTAACATTTTATTAAAGTATTCGTGTTTCGGTAAATTTTGTCAATGCCGAATTCTAACACTGGGTCTAACATTTTCTCTCAAGCTACCGAAGTTGTTAATAGATGCCTAGTTTTACGACAGCTGAGATTAACTGCAAAATCTTTTTTTTTTATGACGTTTGGCTTGAGGCTCGGTCTCGTGCTGGCTGGCGAAGCTAACGTTCCACGGAACCTACGACTTGCACAGTGCGTCATTAGCGTCTCTAAATCACAGCACTAACTTTCAATCACTCATTTAGCTCACGAAACTAAACTAAACTGCACTGTAACACACTGTAGCAACTCACACTTTAAATCAAGAATAACGAACTGCTGAGTCTTTCATCGTTTCTGTAACTTTCCGTTTAACATTATTGCAGCTGCTGTTTAACTCACCTTTACAGCTCACCGTAGTTAACTTAAAGGTCCGTAAACTGGCAAGCTGCGGTTAATGTAAATAAAACTGTACACATGCCGCTTCCCTGAGGAAACAGGCGGAGATGCTTTCACGGCACGAAATCAGCTCCGACTTTGCAGTACTCCAACTGTACAGCACAGAAAAATATGAATACAAATTTGTGTGTTATACTGTTGTTTCTTTTTTAAATACACTTATTTCGTTAGGCTCACATCAGTTACATCTTTACAGTTTAAACAAGTTGTCAATCAAGTTGGGTCTTATTAGTCTCAAGTTTTGTATTTATTATGTTGGTAATTCTTCCAGTGCAACAATTTAAAAAACCTGGTGCACAATTAAAGGTCTTCTAAAAATTCCAATACAATAAAAAGGGGCTCCAGGTAACACAGACATGTAGGCTTCCCAGTCTCAAAGATATTTTCCTGAATTATTTTAGTATTTTAAGTACACAATGTTTTTATTAGTTTATATTAACTCTATATTATTGTCATTTCAGTTTATTCAGTTGATTTTTACAGATTACTTTAGAGTTTACTTAACTTTGACTAACTTTGACTAACACAGTATTCATTACATCTGCGTAAATTGATTAGTAATCAACAATTTATTTAGCTTTGTTGCAAACAATAAGGGCAGAAGAAATCGTGATCTACTACGACCAGTGAAGACAGCATAGGAACTGTAGTCTGCGTCAGTTCCGCTGTACACAATAACATAGGCACACCCCTGCCCTCTAGAGGACAACTCCAGAATAACAACATGACAGGAAGCAAATTGCAATGATTTTTATTCTGTTCAAGTGAAGTGGCACTTACGATAAATGAAACAAAAAAAGAAAGAAAAGTTATTACAATGGGACTTCTGGTTTACAAACAGGTGTAACTGGCATAAATATGACAATGGAATGGCTTACCAGGAAACCAAAATGTAAATCACTCAAGGAGAGGTCAATACTGTCCCCAGAACACATTTTTCAAGTAACGTGTTGTAATTTGCTCTAACGTGACCTTTTTTATTGACTCAGTTTGCATAAAGTCAGAAGAAATAGAGTTATTTGAGAGCACGGGGTGTCAAACATGCAGCCCGGGGGGACCAGAACCAGGTCCATTTTGGCTCATTTGATGACTTCACAAAGTGTAAAAACTGGGAGAGATCTCAGCTTCACTAGCAAGGAGTGACAACATCTGAAAAGTTAATAGTTTTAAATCTAGACAAGTTAACACCTTCGTCATTGGTAACTGAAATGACAACAGACTCTGTGAATGTGGAAAAGCTGAGGCATACTGTTGAGATTGCACTTTTGTAGGATGCAGAAAATATAGTTTCTAAATGGATGATCCATTAAACAAGAAAATGTAAATTAACAACAAGTAACGAGGGAGTGGGGTAACTGGTATGGTGTGCTAGGGACAGGGTGAGATAGGGGCCGATGTGGTGACCCTGAATTGAAGCAGTTGGAAGAAGAAGACAAAGACGACACATACATAATCTTACGGGCGTGGCTCACTTAAGATTATTTGTGGCCATTTGTGGGCTGTGAACAGATGTTTGACATCCCGGCTTTAGAGTTTTGCTCACAGTGGACATTTGGCACATGTGTAACAATATCCACACAGCTGCTGCTCCTGCTCCCCAAAGCCTCATCATCAACTTTACTCGCTTTTTGGTACCAGCTTCTCACTTCACCTCAACGTCGAGAAGAGCAGCCATCACAGCAAGGTGCAACATTACACGAAGCAAAACACATGAAGAGCAACGATGGCACGTATGTGGCTTTGGAAATGCAGAATGTCAGCATTTTCTTAGCTTGCTTAAAACACTAAAAATGGTGGTACCAAGAATCAGTCGCACTGTGTGGTGGAAATGAGGCCTTGTAAGGTGCAGGTACACAGGTGAGGCTTTTAAGCATTGAAGCACCTGAAAGAGCTAAATTTAAACTGCTTTTAAATCTGTGTTTCTCAAATCAAACTGTCATTAAATAAAATGATACGGCACTGGATAAGAGTACAGAACTGAAAACATATAACATGCAAACAACATTTTCACGATGCAGTTTGAATAAACATCTGTTATGTGTTGAATGTGTGAAGAACCCTCATACAATACAATAAATAAATAAGAAAACATTTTTTAAAAATGTCTGCAAACAGAAGCAGTGTGTGGCATTTACACAAATGCTACTAAGACTTAAAGCCAATCAAAATCTGGGAAATTTGAATGCAGCTCTGTTTTAAATCAAAACGTTATAGCAGCAAAGACCCCTGCTGTCATTTGGTTTAAGATGTTTTCTGTTGATGAGAATCAATAAAATCTCACAGTGACAGGGGTTTCAGGTCAAGAGCTGACAAGAAATACAGTACAAAGCATTCCCTAGTTGTGTGTTGATTCAATTAGCAGCTGAAGCTTGGCAGAAATGTTTAAAATCTCAAAATTTAAATTGCTTCAATAAAAAATAACTAACTGGGATATCCTGGCTCTCTTATTGCTGTACAAGAACCATAAAGTCAAAGACACTGAGAAAAAAAACAACAATTTAACAGGAGAGTAACCGAATAAAAAGGAAGCTAAAACCTTTCACCTTTTCACTCGGTCAGTCTTCTTCAAGTATGAGTCGTTGCTGTCCCTTTCAGTGGAAGTCGCCTGAGATAAAAGTGTTTTACAGTACAGACAGCTGCAGCTTCAGCAGCAGAGCAAAGCTGGAATACACTGATTCTTACGAGAGCTTTAAGCTAGGAGAGAAAAACACCAAGCTACACCGCTAACTAGGCCAGACGCATCACCTAAAACTGTCCACGCTCGCCTTTATGTATATGTGCAAAGCAAATGATAACATTATTATTGACTGACCCAGGACCAGGAAGTGACCATTTTCATAAACTGCTTATACATCATTATAACTGAGCGTCGCTGGAGCTGGATCTTCCAGTTAACTTATCAGCTGGGTTTTAAAATCTGTCAATTAGTCATTTTATTTACATTATGCAGGTTATGAAGGTCAGCGTTTCCAGTAAACTGATGCAAATCTAAACATCACCCCTGAAGGCTCACGGGCTGCAGCTTCAGCAACAAAAACACATCACTGGCAAAATTATTAACACCAGAATTAGTTCTCTTTTTCAATAGGTAGCTTTAGGTTTCCCCTTTTTAAATTATAACTTAATGGTATATCATCTTTTTAGAAGCATCCCACATCCTGCAGGACAGCTAACACTTTCAACTTTGGCTCCTGACTTCTTTAATAACCAAACTGACCTTAAAGTATATCATTGTGAATGGGAAGCAGTTTGTAGAGCAAAAGCTGACTGTTCAGGAGGACATCAATGGCACCAATCAGCTGTCTTCTTCTTCCAGTGACTAAGTGCTTTTGTAACAACCGTGCACCTCCATGATTGGCCCTCTCTCCTCAGAACTCCATCCCCTCGTCGCTTTCACACCAGTCCGACGGAGCATCGGTGCCGAAGTAACGATCTCCGAAATTCCCTGAGAGGAGCAGGTGAAAGGAGATGGGACAGAAAAAGTTGGACTTTTCTTTACTGCGTTCTCTGTAGTGGGTGACATCCGTTGCGAATATGGAAGATTTTAAAGAGCATAACTGCCTTTTTTTTTTTTTTACCCTTTTCCTAACTTTATAAGATTAGAAGCTACACTGTGTACCGAGAAGCTCATTTATATCCACAGTGGGAAATTTCTAAGATCATTTTTGCACCTTTGCTGCCACTGATTTAGATGTGAGATTACAGTGTGTATAAAGAACAGAGCTCTTTCGAGCAAATGTTTACATTGTAAACCTTCCCAATAACTCCCTTTACCTTGCTATTAAAATATTTATAATCTTGGCTAATAATCTACTTTAAATAAACCTAAAACACACCACTGACTTTTCTGTGGCTTTCCCAAACTCTCAAACACCCTGTAGCCGCTCTGCTGGTGCTAGATTTTGTCTGCAAACAGTAGAGCTTTCATCCATGCAGCAATGGTTTTGTACTTTGTGTAATTCACAGATGATTTACCTAATGCCTCTTATTGATTTATAGGTGACCTTTTCTTCTAGCCTCCCACTGTTTGTCAATAAAGGCTAAAAATACATTTGAAGGCCAGAGGGCAAAAAACAGACTTGGTTGTTGATCTCTTCCAGCTCTGCAAAGTCAATTAATTTCTTCCATTAAGGCCTCTGACACAGTCCTTGTTTCTTATCAGGACACTTTACCCTAGATATGCTGTCAGTAAAGTTTCTTAACACACTGTTTTGTTTTGTTTTTGGCAAAACCAGAAGATTTATGGGGCTAATTATGCTTAAAACTCTATAAATCATGTTAATCGTCTATTAAAAGTACAATGTTTTTCAAACAGATGATAAATGAACTTTGATAAAGCCAGAGCGCATGTACTCACCGATGCCTGGTATGATGTGGAACTGGTCGTTGACCTCCTTGTCTACGGCGGTGGTGATGATCCGAACTTTAGGGAAGGCGTAGGCCACCGAATGGACCCCCATCTCAGCCATCAGCAGGGACAACAGGAAGATCTTATCCTCAGCTACATCGTGGTCCTTCATGTGGAGAAACACAGAACTTATTTCTAGATGATGTCGGTGAAAGAACACATCCAACCAGAATTAATAATTTCATATATTTACATAATAACTTCGGCTTCATTAGCAGCATCACAGGGTAATAAATACTAATGACCTGAGCCTGCACAATGTTTTATAATGGATAAAATAAATCACCTGTAGCACTTT